AGGAAGCAGGAGCTCGCTCTGCTGCGCGGAGCTGGGCTCGAACCACTTAAGTGTTGACCATTTCTGGCCGGCAACTTTCAGCGTCATTAAGCTGCTGCGCCACCGCGGCCCCGCTCACCTTAGAGCTAGGGTTAGACAATATGGAAAACTCTGTACCCAGACAAACACAATTTCTGCATTTGTGTAACATGCTGTAGCAAACACACTATATCATGGTTTAATGTGATGACCTGGACTCTCATGTTAAGACACAGGCTCAGTTCCCACAATAAACTAAAGCACAAATAAGCCAGCCCATTTATAGCTCAGTAGTGTGATCTGTGCAAACCTAGGGATATTTGCAGGTGGGGGGGGGGTCAGTGATGTCAAAAAGGTGGGTGTGACTGGATGGTTGAACTCCCACCTCGTTTTAACACACGTCTCACACTTATAAAAAGGGGTTGGGTTTCCACTCTCTGTGTGTACATGCCATTTTAACATCAGTAACCACCCACTCCTGCCAAACTCAACCTCAGATAGCAAATTAGGTAGAAAATCCATCAAGATAGCCTCTGGATCTGGACAGCTTTCTTTTCTTTAGAGCTCTCAGTCTCTCCATCTTCTGAATCAGGCACATCTGTTGCCGCTGTTTTCTTTCTTTCTCTGCAGATACCCAGAAAACCTCACTTCCATGGCAGATGTTAAACTAAGAATGAACTCTGTGATAGACTTGAACAATAAATCATAGGATTGGATTAGGAAATATAGTCTTGGGTCCCCCTAATTGGATTAAGTTAATTGTTTCAAGGTGGATCTGGGAATATTACTAATGCAGCAGGAAATGTGTTATCAACACTAGTAGAAGAACATAAAACATTCCTACAACTGCCCATTGCCGTCAGGCTTTCAGCAGGAAAGAGAGGCCCAGGGCTGAAGCTGAGATGAGAACCACTAGACATGATTTAATCTAAACTGCAACCTTAATTCAGCTGATGGGAATTATATGGGGCAATAGATCTCTAATGAAGCTAATTTTATGGTGATGCTTATTTCCAGTGCTTAGAAGTGCATGGAGTGTGTAGAAATATGGCTGGGAGGTTACAAAAGATCTCTGATCTCCCTTGTCCTGTTTACATGGACAGGGGATCTAGTCAGTTACCTTCCCGGTTGACTTGCCACCAAAAGCACTGGGAAACACTCATTCTCCAATGACCCACTCAAATGGAAGTGGTCATTTTCTAATTCCTCCCAGCCACTACAGAAGAAACTGGGAAGCTGTTGTTCTCATTCTCCTTGCACCAGGGGAGGGAGGGAAGAAAGAAGGGGGAAAAAGATGAGCATCCTCACTCTGTCCTTGGTGGTACCAAAACAGACTCCTCCCTCCTTCCCTTGACCTGTCCTTCCTTCCTTCCTTCCTTCCTTCCTTCCTTCCTTCCTTCCT